GTTTAGGGTTTGGAGTTTGGAGTTTAGGGTTTAGGGTTAAAGGGTTCCAAAGGGGCTACTAGAAGGGTTGCTATAGGGTTTAGGGTTAAGGGCTTATATACTAGGGATCTACAGTAGATAATATGGTCTCCTAATGTATATATATATATATATGTGACATAGTATATTTCATATATACACAGATATAATTCTAAGGAGAACATTGAGACCATCTTATTTACGGTAGATTATAGGCCCTTTACCGAGCACCCAGGGAAGAGGGAAGACGAGGAGGAGGTTGAAGAGCCAGGATCAGCCGCAGCTGGGTTCTTCTTAAAGGATTTTAGGGGTTTAGGGTTTATAGGGTTTAGGGGTTTAGGGTTTAGGGCTTAGATCTTTTGGGTTCTTGTTAAAGGATTTTAGTCAAGTTACCATACTAGGGGTCTATTTTAGGGTTTAGGGTTTCATTTAGGGTTTAGGGTTTAGGGTTTTGAGTTACCATAATAGGGATCTATAGTAAATAATATGGCGTCCTTTCCTTATTATGGTAACTTAAATTACATCCCCTGGCAAGAACCCAGGCAGAGGGGCCTCGAGCCCTGCAGGAGTGGGTGGCACAGCCGGCGAAGTTGCCGAAGAATTGGAGGACCCACATCCCCAGGGTTTAGGGTTTAGGGTTTGGGGTTTGGGCTTTGGGGTTTAGGGTTTCGGGTTTAGGGTTTAGGGGCCCGAAACCCCTAAACCTTGCCAAGAAGTGGAGGACCCAGCTGGCTCGAGAGAAGCTCAGAAGAGAGCCAGCAGTCCTTGCAGAAAACACTAAGCACAAGGCCGGGTTCTGGTCCAATTTCAGCTACCATTATAGGGTTTAGGGTTTAGGGTTAACCATTATAAACCATTATTCACTAATTTCAGTTACCATTATAGGGTTTAGGGTTTAGGGTTTAGGGTTAACCATTATTAACCATTATTCACCAGTTTCAGTTGCCATTACAGAGTTTAGGGTTTAGGGTTTAGGGCTAACCATTATTCACTATAGACCTCCATTAAGGTAACTTAAATTATATTCCTTAACAAGAACCCAGCAAGGTGACGCTGGTCACCACCGACGCGCTGGAGGAGGTGCGAGGCCTGGAGAAAATGCTCGTGGGCGACCAGGCCGCCCTCTTCAAGAAGAAGCTCTTCGTGCGGTCTTGCAGAGCAGCGGACTTCTGCTTGGCCTTGGGGGCCTACGAGAAGGATTGCCAGTTTTTCAGAGAGTACTCCTACATCGTCGCCAATCGCGGGAAAGTAGGCTCGCTCGTCTTGGTGGCTCGGCTACACCGCAAAACCTAAATCCCAAGCTTGAAACTCTAGGACGCTAGACCTTGAGGTGGCTCGGGACAAAGAGACCGAGCAGATCGTAGGCTTCTTGCACGCAGACAAAGGCGAGAAGGAGCTGCTGATTGGGCACCTCAAGGCGACGTCGCTCATGGGGTTTCAGGTTTTGGGCTTTGGGTGTCAGGGTTTCTGGTTTCGGCTGTAGGGATTACGGTGTAGGACTTAGGGAATGGAAGTTTAGAGTTTAGGGTTTAAAGGGGGGTTAGTGTTTAGGGCCAAGGTTAAGCAGTTTAGCACTTGGGGTATATTTTAAAGGTCGACCACCTGAGCTCCGTTCTGCTTCCTTCACGGGTTGAGGGGTGCAATCCTCTACTCGTACGATTCCTGAAGGCTCCTTGTTAGAAGTATAGTATGGTGCAATATGCAGCTTAAGCATCATGAAGCCTCCCATATTACTGCCTCCTGCGCGGGAGGTGCACAATGACCATCAGGGCAAAGGTGTGGGAAAGTTGTTGATCCAGGCTGCGGAGACTCAGGCCGGGGAAGAGCGGTCTAGCAGTAGTAGTAGTAGTAGTAGTAGTAGTAGGAGTAGTAGCATCAGTGTCAGTGTCGGTATCAGTATCAATAGTAGCAATGCATTTCTGGTTGTCACTGTCATTCTCTTGAGCAGTCCTCAGAACCCTCCTGGTGTCATGGCAGATGCAAGCATCTGTCCGATGTTTAATCCTTCACACCAGTTTTCATCATTGCCGCTCTTGTGACTTGTGATTGCCATACACCCGTGCCAATAAGAATTTCCTGAGAAGCCGATGAAGCATGAAGCCCCGAGCACTGTGCTCAGATTCAAGAGCCTGCTTGAGCAGTAGAGTCTGTGTATGTCACGTCTAGCAAGCGTTGAGCGCCTGGACCTTCGTCAGCCCTCTACTTGAAGGATCCTGGGACTTAGTAA